TTGAAACAATATGTTGCCAAAGTAACCTCTATTGTGGAAATTAATTAACTTAGAATATTAGAAAGAATTTGTGTGTATGCTAGTTCATGCGGATATTAACCGGCCCAAAGGAGGTTGATATTTAGCCGAATTACATGCACCTTGTGGTGGTAAATGTGTGACAATTATGAGGTTTTCATGTGAATAATAAATCAATCTAAAGATGAGTTTATTATTTGACAGGAGTTATTGTCAATATTTGATCACTACATCAAGAGTACCACTTACAATTAATATTACTATCTAAAAACTTGATATTAATGATGTGCTAGGTATCTTGAAGGGGTGGTAATCGAGCCGAGCTCCACGGGCAAGCTAAAGAGCTCGCCCACAAGCCGGCTCGTGGGTTTGTTCAAAATTGAAGGGTTATTTTTTTATTTTTTTTCAAAAAAAAATATATATCTAAAAAAAAAATTAACGAGCCGCGAGCTGACCCACGAGCTCACGGGCTGAGCCGAGCTCAACCCGCTGCTCGTGACGAGCACGAGCCGAGCTCGTGGGCATACAGCTCGGCCCATTGCCATCCCTAGTATCTTTTAATGGGACTTACCATTATTTGAATTTGTTGATAATTGAATGTTAATATTAATCCGAGCATAATTCTTTTCCTATCTCTATTTTGTTCTCTATCAACTAGGGACGGCAAAAAAGCTCGTCGACTCGGGCTCGGCCCGGAAAAAGCCGCCCCATTTTAGGGCGTTGGCTCAGGCAAGCCTGCCATTAAAAATAAAAATAAAAATTTAAGTTAATTTTTTTTAAAAGGAGCTACCTTTGCAGCTGCCTATTGCTGTCTGGCTGCAGCCTTAAAAAAAAAAAATCAAAAAACCCGAGCCAGCTCGAATCGAAACCGTTGGTCGAGCCTCATTTTTTTGGCCGGACTTTGCTCTGCTCGGGCCCAAAAAAGCTTGAGCCGAGCTTGAGCTTTTTTTTTGGGCTCGAGCTCGGCTCGGCTCGACTCGTTGATATAGCTACATACAACTAGTGCATCTGCTACTACCATATCTACAAA